AAGAGGATCTTTCGACAACAGGAAATATCGAAATTCTTCTATCATTACTTTTTATTTATCAAAAATTTTCCGTTGATTTTAGGTACCACTGGAATTAGCCAAAAAGATGAGTTCTGTCCAAACGGTCGAGGAGTTCCTTCAGTTAGTCAAAGGTGTACCTCCAGTACAGAATACCTTCTCTATCCAAAGTAAGTAGGCTGTTAAATTTTATGCGTGTTACTAATTCAGAAAAGAATGTCGATCTGTGACAATTCACGAAGGAATATACATGAGATGATATAACTATGCAAATTTCATTTTATTTCAGTTTTAAAAAAAACAAAACATAAACGTATGCGTATTGGCAAAAGAAAAAGAAAAATATATTCTCTAACGTAGACCTGCTACTGTACGGGATTGCAGTATAGTTGCGACCATAAATCCTTGAATGTTTAAAGAACAAATTATTGCGAGCAAACCTACTGCAACTATTCGGTAAATATTGCTCGGTTAGATAAACGTGTTAATCTGCGCGGTATCTTCTAGTAATTTCATTGTTCAAACTCAATTATCGGTGAACATGAGATTACTTTCTGTGCACAACGCAGAGAAAAAAAGATACTTAACGAAAGTATTTTGTGAACGTCAGATCTACAACGAACTTAGACTTACCATCCACAAATTTAGATTTCTAAAGAAACTTATTAAATTTAAAAATATAAAAAAAAAAATCTTAACGATAATCTTCAGATAAAATAATTTCCTGATACTCGAAGAAGAAGAGGAACCATTTTACTTGAAGTACTATACCCTCTTTTTCCTTTTTTAAAATTTCATTCTGTCGAATTTGAGCTTACTTTCTTCCTCTTACACTTTTGATTATCCTGATATATTATTAGATGAATCTGATACTTGAAAACAAACTTTTTCTTATTTTCCTCGTTGCAAACGTCCACGTTCACGCACGGTTTATTAAAGACGAGTCTGTCCTTCACGTACTGGGGCGAGAATAAAGAAGTACGGTGACCTTTAGCCATCTCCATTTCCAGGCTCTCCAGAAAGCCTTTACGATCCTCGAAGAAGTCGATATTCCTCAAGAAACCACCAAAATCGTTCGTATTTGGTACCAGTCTGTTAGTGATTTCATTTATTTCTGCCAGACTGAGCAATCTGACTTTGGGTTGCTCATATTGCACCGTGTCACATGTGGTTTCACAAAGTGGTTCCAAGGCTGGACATTCGGTCAGAATGGAATATGCAATTTGCAATTTGCATGGCCGCCTCCATGTGTGAAAATTAGTCGTAGCCGAGAAATACGCGTGCCGAATATCTACGATTCAATTAAACAACACGTCTATTATCCTTTTTACAGTATTTAACCCGATTAATCCTAACGAAAGCAAAACTTTGGAGTCACGAAAACGTGTCTGAAGATTACGTGAAAATGATTGGAAAAGTCGAAAAATAATTCCCGCTGTGGCTTATTGGAAAATATAGCGAAATGAAAGGAACAAAGGAAGAAAATGGACCCTTGCCTCGTTTCCAAAATTTCCGAGAGAACTCTATTTCGCCGTCTGCCTCTATGTACTTGGTCGTGCTTGTCTCAACGATAACGTGGCCATCTTCTTCGCCACACTCTCTCTTGATGGCTTTGACGGTTGGTGCCATTTCCTCTTCCAATTTTATCCTATTAATGCTCTGCTCGATCTCTTCTATGTTACTTGGCGAGATCTCGAGCTTGAAAAGATTACTGAGATCACCCTCGCTCAAATCGTAAGACGTGTCCGTCACGCCCGTTTCTTTCATATCGATTTCATTCCCATTAATGTCCATTGTGGCGTCACACGTATCCGTTTCTGCGGGAAATGATTCGCTGTCTGCTCCGCTATTATCATTGACGACATTGCTCACTCTTTTTACACTTTCTTGGCGACTGCGGTGATGAAACGATTTCCTATGTAAAAGTCTAACGTTAAGGCCTGTTCTTTTCCAGTTCCACGAAGTTCGAAACTTCATCCTTGATCTTACCGGTTCGAATGTTTCATCTCGTAAACGATGTCGGTGGTTGATACGATTCGTGAGAATATATGCCTGGAATTCATCTTGTGAGCTTCCATAAAGGCAGCCACGTTTCTCCTACCTTTGACCATCTTGCCGAACCAATCGAGGACCACGTCTTTCGAGAGCTGACTTTCTAAACCGGAAGCAAGACCATCGACCAAAGCGAAATAGCTGTTGGCGAATGAAATGGCCTGCTTGTGATTCTCCATCGTTCGATCGCCTAAAAGAAGTAGGGCAAATTTTGTCACGTAAAGTTTCGAGTCCGATAGCTTTTACGTAAAACCACAGAAACCACAGTGAATTAGACGCAACAGGAATTAAGGGGAAACGAAGGGAAATCCTCTGACTAATTCAGGCATATGATCCAGCGTGCTATACGACACATCCTCTTCCAGGTAAAATCGGAGAAACCGAGGAACGATCAAACGCAGAGATACCAGTTCCAGCAACGTGTAAACCTGAATTACAAACAGTTCAACTACACCCCGACACCGACACGACCAGCATATTTTTCCCCACCTGTATACGAATCAACAGATGCGGTGGTTGTTGCTATAATTCCTTGCTCTCCTGTCAGCCAACGGCAACAGTGACACGAAATTTCGAGGTAAAAGCATATTGATAAATTTATGATAATTTACGAAGGACATTGTTCAGAATAATCACGTTTTACAATTATTTCAAGATTTACGTGATGAGTGCCGACCACTACAAAGGATTACTGTATAGGAGTAAACGTATCGTACCAGTAGAAGAGCACACGGAATGCGAGTGCAACTGCCAAGTAAAGGAGGAGGTAATTTAAAGACAGTCGATGATTGAGATCTTCCTTTTTAAACCGGTATAAACTCGATCCGCAATGTATATCGTAATAATTCGCGCACACGTTCATGCGATAATGCGCTTTTTTAAATCTAATTATTAGTTGAATTTAAATTTGAAAATTGATATGATGGATATTTCAATAAATTTGAAAAAATTGTGTCGTTTCATTAAATGATATTCTTTCAGCATTGTAACAAAAAGCAGACTTATGTACCTGAGTCGTGTGAATGCCAATGCAACAACGTTGACGAAAAGAAGAAATGCAACGAGAGCGACAAGAAAATCTGGAATTCAGACCTTTGTAGCTGCTCATGTAGAGAAGTACGGCAGTGTACTACTGGCTTATATTTCGACCAAAATACGTGCAGGTGTGAGCTGAATGAATAGGACTACTATGGGAATTAAACCTTACTGCACCATACTGTCTTGCATATCCTGTAAGCTGCACGCATTGCATCAAATCTTCTTTGGGAATTTTTTTTTTAATAATCTCATTTTTCTGCTTAAATCATAAAAATTAACAACTCTTCTTGCTTTTCGTGAATGTATTGTGCAACTAGTAAACACCTAACTGGGGTTTCATGTTGAATTACCTATTGCACTGACAAAGATTTTTTGACTATCATTATATTTTGTATGATGGATTTGCTTTGAAACTCACAAGAATGACACAAATAAAAATATAATCACAAATAATGTAATGAATAGAATTAAAACAAGCAAAACAATATGTTAGTTTTGTATGAACCGATAGGTTTATCAATGTGTACTATGTATCTATGAACAGCATGTAAATTTTTCTCTAGAAGACTAAGATGTTATTTTAATCCCTGAATATTTAAAAATGTTTCAGATGTAAGCAAACACAACTATCTAGACCTTGGATACCTACAAGAAGAGTCGATTATGGATTTGAGTATACAGAAAAATCGGACAATGTATCACCAGTAATAATTGCATTAGATACCGATGATCCTAGAAGAAAACCTAAACCAGACCCAGAATTTAAATGAAAATGCTGATATATAGACTAAATTATAAAATTCACGAGACCACTATTTAATGGAACATAAATATAGTTTAATCTTACACCTTTGTGCCATTCTACATCCACATACACGTGACATGTTACTATAATATTTATGTAATTCACTATTATAAGGTATGAATAAGTGTATTTTTATATATTAAAAAGCATTGTGATATAAGGAAACGTTATTATTTAATACTGTTACTTGTATACAATATTAAGATATGCTATTTTAAATATATTATTTATGTACACAATTTCTAAGATTAATTTGTAACAAATATTTTATTGATTATTTTCTTGGACATAAACATTATAAAACATTGTGATACAAAAAAGGTATAAAATCATGAACTTTGTTGTAGCGTAATTTCCTCCAAATCAGTTTCTACTGCATCTGAGATCGAAGACTCTGTATTTTCAACATCTTTTATATACAAAACCAGTGCTTTATTAACCTTCAGAAGTGTACTGTAGCTCTTACTTACAGATGATAGTGTTTCAGAAATTTCCCCTAAAATATAAGGTAATAAAGAATTATATGACCTACTGCGACAGGTGTATAAAATTTGAAATAAATACACACCTAACCATACTTTTAAAAGAACCGTACACAGTTTAGAAATGTAGTACCAAGGTTCTTTTTAAAACTCGTTTAAGGAAAGTACTTAATAACGCATGCAAAATATCATCAAGTAATTAATTTTGTTTATAAAAAACATTCACTTACTAATAGATGATGCCATGTCAAGAATAGTCGATTCTTTTGTAATTCTTGGACGTTTTAATAACTGTTCCATTATAACGAATTTACTATTTAATCTTTTTTCTGTATTATTTTCTTTAACTAACTTTTTTAAAAAATAAAACAAAATAAAAATCACGCTTTTATTACAGATGCTTAAAATCCTAAATAGTACGATCAGTTGATCATATCTACCATAATCATAAATACAGAACACAATATGCAAAATATAAATTTCACCCAAAGACACAACGGAAAACATAAAGTACAATTACAGTTAGATTTACAAGAACAATTTACAATAAGGAGGTATCACCTGTTTGATTGTCCTTATGCAGTAAGAATACCAAAATTTCTTTTATATTTTTAGATTTTAAAGGAAACAAGACAGTCCATATACTAAAATAAATTTAACGAATTTCCTAAAAGATTTTCATAAAAACTTCATTCTCAAGGCAATCCTTTTTTGCATACAAAAAATGTTACCAACAACTGAGCATTGTGTACACTATTCTACTGCCATCTACTTGCTAGTAATGAAACAGTATTCTTTCCATCCGTGAATTATAGATGGCGCCACATAAACGAAATGAATAACATGACGTGTAAATAATTTTTCACAAAAATTAATTATCAGTGAGTTAAATATCAATAACTGTTAATGACATATCGACTATATCTATTTACATTCACATCTAACTGCACTTAACGATAGGCCTCTAAGCTTATTTCATTTTAATCTACAATCTTACAAACATAATTACAAAGGATTATGCTTCTCAATAGCAATTTTGAGTTCAATCATTCACCATTACGAGGCTGTTTATTGTTACCTGTAATTCATTCACGTTTCTCTAGAAGCTGGAAATCAAATTAATCGATCCCAACAAGTAAATGGTAATGTAATTTTCCAATTAGAGGTTGTACAACCATGTTATGCGTATAAATTGAAGGTTTACATTTCATCTATTTTTATCACACATAATTAATTTACCGTTCGTAATTAATGATGTCTGAGATGAAAATTTCAATATTCAGAGCGTTAAATAGCGTTCATCGATTCTATTGTAGCTATTTGTACTCGGCCAACTTAACCAGAGTCCATAAACGATTTATAGGACGGCATAAAGATGAACGACTAATGAAGAAAGAAACCAACGAGAATTGTATTTTAGTAAGAATGTGAAAATTGTGCGAACAATCCAACGAGAAAGAGCGCCACGGAGAAAGCCTTCGCGAGTAATGCATGTCCAAGAGCGTACTGGACGAAAGGAGAAAGAAGTGCGCGGAGTAGACGAGGCGCCGTTTTTTTTGCGCCACCCGTTATAATTACTGGGGCCTTGTCACTTTTGCCGAGGCGCGGACTGCAGTGAAGTACCTCGTCGGTGAATCGCCCCGTGGCTCGGTCAACCTGCAACGCGGCGGCTACCTCAAAGCGATCGCTTCGACGTACAAGCAAAGGAAGTGCAGAAGGAGTAAACGAAGAAAAAGATGAACGAGCAAAGACAGAGAAAACAAAGCCAAGTTCCGAACCGCTGTTCGAGTTACTCGCGTCACGAAATTGTCTCAGTCGAGGCACGTGAGCGGCTGAATTTGCAAAGCGCAAACACGTGCGAAGACTAGTCCCTTTCTCATTATATTTCAAGCGTTTCGGAGACCTGTCCAATACATGACATCATAGACGTATATACATATATTTAATATCTCGCGACCAAATTACATACGAGAACACAGGTACGGTCGCGTTCTATCGACAAATAATTATACAGCTAGGTGTTGAAGGGTATCTACACGCTGTTCGATGCAATTTAATCCCATACGCATCGCACGAATTCAATTTTTTGTCCATCGGTGAATGCGGCTTAATTGCATTCGGTAGCGAGAAAGATTTAAAATTCAAAGAGGAACAGTAGTGGGTTCGGAAAAAACCGGTACCTCGCCTACGTATTTTACGCCACTTTCTTGCGTGTACGCACGCGTGTATTACTGTCTCGCTTCATCGCGTTCTCTCGACTTCTTCTCAAGGACTCTCTGGAAGGCCCATGTAGCCAGTAAGAGCTCCACGATCGTAACACGGTAGCCAACACGGTGGTAGGTTTAAATCATATTAAAGCGCATCCAAGCACCGGGAACCGTAAGCCTGGATTACTGCTACAAATCGTCCCGTACGGGGAATTCCGCGTACCGAGTAATTCGATCGCTTTTCAAAGGTCCAGGCTAATCACGCGCCTGCGCCCCTTCGCTAATTCCCCGCGTTTTTGTTTTCATAACCTATATCGACGCCGATCGCCCGATGTGCCAACTTCGCGTCTATAGTGCATGCACGCGTAGCGCTGTTCCGAAATACACTTTTCAACCACTGTTTTATTTACTCTTCGACTCACGATCGTTAACACCGTTAACAACGAGCGTCTTTTTAGAAGAAATATGCGTATAATCGATGCTGCGATCTTTCTACCTCTATCAACAGAGCAGAACAATACCGGAGACGATCGGTGCATGATAAAGTGTTCTCGTGGAAAGTTACGAAACAACGTGGGCAGCGACAGTAGAAAATGGCGTGGGTCGTGACGGTCTGAGACCAGGTGGAACGTGTTTATACAAGATATGACCTGATAAGACATTACCGACGCTCGGCAGGAAGGCACTTATGGCAGGCACGAAATGACCAATGTCCAAAACCAATCGACAGTCGTAAGCCTATTTTTCTAAACCACCATTGACACTCGCTTCGAAATTTCAACAATTTGAATTAGTTTCTGAAAGAGAGGAGAGGGGGAGTAAACAGTACGAATACAATAAATTGCGTCGGAGACTCGAACCGAAAGAACGTTCCCTTTGAAATCATCAGTCGAGTGTTAAGACCCGTATCCGATACATAGGTCACGATTTTATTGCACCCACGTGTGAATAGATCTATTGAGAATCTAGGCGTTCGTAGCTGATACGAAATCGGGCATTCGGGCCATTGTGATTAATTCTATCCGAGATTCAATCCGGGAATCGTGACGGAAAGAATACACAGCTCGCTCACGTACCGACGGCTCTTTCTGCGTTCCGAATTGTGATACAAATGACACGCATTTAATATTTACACGCGATCGTTCGACTCGTGACTTTTTAATAATAATACGTTTTGATACAAATACCGATATTTCCAGAGAGACGAGTACGTGTCCGTTAAAAAGTCACGGTAATAACCTTGATTGGTAGTTAAACGAGAAACCGTCGATTCGACGGGGTAGCTTTTACTCGATAAAAGCAGCAGGACCGTTCGCGACCGTGCCATTAATTTTCCCCTTACGTCGTAGAAATATTCCAGCCCACTTGCCTTCGTCTCTATCTCATCTCTCCTCTCTTCTTCTCTCGCTCGCCGCAGCACCAGTAGCACTATTGTATCGCCTCTCTTTCTCGCCGCTTTTCGTGTCTCTTTTGTGTTCCCTGATGCACGTTCAGCTCCCGTTGTACCGATTGAGTGTTGACCCCGCTGCGTCACGCTCGCATGCTGCAGTTTGTTCGAAACGATACGTAATCAGCGGCTGAAACGAACGAAAAGCGAGCGCGTCTAGTCTCGTGTCCGCGGTTTACGGCGCGACGATAGCGCCGCGAACGATAATTCGTGAAATAATATTTTTCTTTTGTTCTTTCCCCTTATCCACGAAAAGAGAAAGAAAAACACGGAGAAACGCGGGGAAACTCGTGGAAACACGTGCAAGAGAAGTACGAGTTCAGCGAGAGATCGTTATCGTGGTAACGAGAAAGAAATGAGACGTCTCTACGGATCAAAGCACGAGGTAGATGATCGTCCGTGGAACAATACCGACGATAGATAACCACTTCGGCGTACAGAATTGTATTTTTAGTCACGCGACTGCACGCCACTCTGACCGAGTCGTACATATCTATATACGTGCGTGCGAGGATGACCACGCGTGATGGCTACTGAAATACGCGAACCATTTTGTTTTTTCTTTTTCACCGTGGCAGCACGGTCGGGAAGTTGCGTCTATCCATCGGTAACAACGGATAGCAGGATATTTCTCGAATTTTATTGGAATCTTCATTCATCATACACCCGTGTGTTATTTACGTTGGCAATCAGTGGGAAGTATCGGGTACGGAGCGTAAATTGACTACGAAATTGGTAACGTAATTTACGCTGCGAGGGTATCACGAAGGATTTTTGATCTGCACGCGATATAGAAGCGCTTACATGGAATTGAGAGCTGCGGAGAAAAACGAGAAACGAGAGGGACCTTGATCGAGATCGGTATATTTACTTACCCATTATTACGCGAATATTTTCCCGATGCAAATACGCCCGGAATGTCGCGCAGAAGCAGATGTTTGAATATTTC